ACAACAGAGGATGATCAAGTAAACACTCAGGGTCACCTACTAAAAACCCGATGTGCATGAACTACGGTTTAATGTATTTACAACAACTCTCTGTAGTTAGGCTTTTGAGGAAATGTAATCTTGGAACAATGAGGTGGAATCGTAATTGTTTCAGAATACCTCTAAGGGTCTGTTTGTTTGCTAAAAAAAATAGGAAATGTGTTGACACCTCAACTTTCAAGAAATATCTCATGTGCCACATGAGTTTTTGTTTTCAAGAGTTTTCCATTTCAAGTGTTTGTTTCGTTTTTAATTTTCAAGAAATGAAGTGTCACGTAGGATGCCACCTCACATTTTTAAGAAATGTGTTTTCACAACAAAATAGGCTGAAAACACTTGGAAATATCCCATCTGAGAATTATTAATTAGTAAAAGCACTGTTTATGAGGTTATGGGCTGAAAACACTTGGAAATATCCCATCTGAGAATTATTAATTAGTAAAAGCACTGTTTATGAGGTTATGAAGAATAAAACATATTATTTATATTAATTAGTAAAAGCACTGTTTATGAGGTTATGAAGAATAAAACATATTATTTAAATTGGTTTTCTCGCATTTCATTTTTCTTGTTCTCAAACAAACAAAAGAAATGGAAATGTCTAACACTATTACTATGGAGGCTTTTTTTGTTTTTGGTGTGACTTGGCAGTGAAATGGGGAGTTTTCTTTGCGAAACAAAAAAAAACTGTGAAATGTCTTGAAATATCATGAAAGCATTTAAAATGTGACATTGCCATTTCCTTTTTTTTTTTTTGGAAATAACCAAACAAGACCTAATAAACAATGAGGTGGTCTTTTGTACAACAACGGCTTCTGATACTACAGAGATATACAAAAGGTAGCTTTTGGTATATTCTGTTACTTTGAAATTTGAAATGATTTTTGTTAAAATAACAAAAGTATTAAAATGATAGAATTTCTCTATCTTGGTAAGTGAAGGTAACTGTTTTGACTTATTGATCCTTCTTTTGTAACTCTACATTGCCAGATTGCTTCCACTTTACTTTCCCAGGCATAAAACAATTACCTGCAGTGTCAGCACCTGTCCAGAAACCTCTTGCGACTCTAGAAGACGTTCCTATCATTGACGTCGAATCACCATTAAGACGGTTTCTATTATTTTATGTTTTATCAATTTAGTTTTAGCCTACAGCTTCGGTGCTCCATGATAATTTGTTGGGGGCACCGGTGGCATATCTGTAAATAAATTCCTTAAAAATAGCTCTCACATTTCTAAATAGATAGATTTGACGGTTAGGAGGTGTTCCACACCCAAAATTATAATTAACTATAATTTAAATTAGGTAAAAAAGTTATTTTAGGAAATACAATTTAGGAGAGAAACAGAATTTATGATTAGGCATCAATGTAAATAATTCCGAACCATTTCGCTCTCACAATCATTCTAATGTCGACTAAAAAATATTACTCTTTCTACTATCACTTTTGTAAATATCTTGAAAATTGATGCCTAACATTTAAGCCTAAAAAAATCATGGCCACTAAGAATAGTACCCCCTTTTCTCTTTAATTCTTCCTTAGTGACATTGTCAATTTAGCTGACCTTTAATTACTCGTTATTTTCACCACTATGTCAATAGTCTAATAATCTGTTTTTTCTGTTTTTAAATCATCTTCGCTTTTAAATCAAAGATATAATCAATTTCTTTTCTTTTTAATTTTTCCTTCATAAAATCAGTTGATTTTTTGAGAGTACGTGGATCTTCCTACTCATTGATTAATTGGAAAGGCTGATTGATTTTGATATGAATTTTTGTTATTTTTTATTTCGTTCATTCTAAGTTCTTCCTCTATGAAATAACCGCTTCGTGTGACTTGACTATTGTTTAGCCATCAATCTAAGTAGCGAAATCATTGCTTGATTGAAATAAAAAAAGTGAAAAATTAGAAGAGGAGGAATTATTTGTATGGATTTGATTCGGGAAGGAAAGGGGATGCAGATGAAATGAGTGGATTGGTTTTGCGGGAAATGATTTATGTTAGGTATGATGATTTCCAAAGTGTTACAAATACCTTTTTACCCTTTTAAATAAAAAATTAAATACAAATATTATAGGAGCACCGAAGCAAAACTCTTAGTTTTATTACAAATACTGAAGGCAAGTAGGCTTTTGCTTTCGTATAATGTCAACCCAATAGTTGACTCGTATAGTATGTTGACAGCTGTAGTAAATATAGCCAAAAGGCTTTTTCCCATTGCATATGGCCTCCACCCTGCTGTTAGATATGTACAGTCTAGGGCTGAGCACGGTTCGGTTCGGGTCGGCTTTTACCAAATTTTAAACAACCGAATCGAACTGCATATAATTCAAAACCAAACCGAACCGTTGCAAGTCGGTTCGGTGCGATTCGGTTCGGTTTGTTCGGTTCTAACTTTATTTTCATAATGACTTAAACAGTAAACTTGCCAAATGCTAAATCAAATAGAATATATCGTGACGGGTAAGGAATCCCATGAATATTAAATAGTAGTATTTTAGGGGTTTCCGACTTAATTTGGAAAAACAAGAGGGAAAAAAGGAACAAAATCATCATCCATGAAAATATATATACCAGAAAACAAATTAATGATCGTTATCAAAGCACAAACTCAGAAATCATAAGAGAATAGGAGTGCATAAATGAACAGGAAACTGATAGGCCGATATCTCAACTTACTAGTTGTTGTATCCAAGGAAATAAATCAAAATTAAAGAATAATCGCAGTCAGAAGCTTGAAGAAGAGCAAAAGATAAACTTTATACCTCGGCAACGGCGACGGGTGCGGGTGTCCCCCTAACGCCGGAGACAAATCCTGAGCCTGAGGAGATGTTTCGACCTCGGGCTTTTTCCCATTTCATATGGTCTCCACCCTGCTGTTAGATATGTACAATGTTATCGTTGCCGTGCGAAAAGCCTGATCCATTCAGACAAGTCGAACCTGTGACGTCAGTTACATCCATTTGGACGTCATATTTAGTAATGCACATTTACAGATTCAAGTACAGTTCAAAAATATTCTTGTGAATTTGATTATTTGAAATACAGTCTCATTTTCTCATCTGATCTCAAAATTAGGAGTTAAGAAGCCAAACGTGTAAATCCAATCAAATGGTAAATATCAGGATTCATCTCGACAATCAAACAACATAATTTGGAACTATTTCTTTATTGATCAGCTACATGAATTTAGATCACCTAAAGTTTCGGTTGCAATCAATCATATGGGACCTTCGGGGACTAGGTTTTAATTATCATTTTAACTGATATATAATTTAGACCAGGATCCCTACTTAATTAAAAGGATATGAAAGATATTGAAACTAAACATTTATTTTTGGAAAGCAATATATTCTAATAATGTCCATTTAATTTGGGTGCAGGTAGCGGTTGGGTGAACAAGATGAAGATATTTTCAAAGTCAATGGTACTCAAAAGAAAGTATGTAAGTCGGGTTAGCAATTCAATCAAGAGGGTCCGCTCACGAATCAAACTAAAAGCCCTGCAAAAAAATATCAAAAAATTAAAGATGCAAATGTGACTTTGAAATCAATAAATTTAAAAGTTCTAAAAAAGTACCATTAAAGTTTGTTGACTTAAAAAAGAGTTCAAAGGCAAAGGTAGCAAGTGATTTTCTTGTGAAACTTCAGCATAAAATGGGGCGTTTTAATGCAAAGAATGATAAAGATAGCATGTGATATTTAAAGGGAAGGACAAAGTTAAATGAGTATTTTGGAATGTATATGGTATTTTGAATTTTTCTTGCGTAAATATATGTACTCACACATTAGGTATTAAAAAGGCTTAGCCATGCTTCTAATGTCACGAGCTTGGATTTACATACACATCATCAAACATTACTTTTATATATATTCCTGTGATAATATTTGATTAATCTATCACTTTATAGATGCAACCAGTGTACTATCACCCAATTAATCACTAAATGTAATTTTATGGTTTAAATGTTGAATTTTTAGCTTTATCTATATATTTCATCCATTGCTTACATTCAATAATTTAATAACAAAAATTTCCCTAAATAAAATTATATATTTATAATAAATATTTAATTTTTTACTAAATAAGATTATATATTTATAACAAATATTTAAATTTTTACCACGTGCAATGCACGCCGAATCCACCTAGTACCAATGTAATATGTAGAAGGATGAATAATATTTTTGGAACAATTTTTCACTTTAGCCCTTTTAAAAAATTTTATTATTAAAATCGACCCTTTTTTCTTTTATTTATCAAAACCGACCCGATTTCTTGATTAGCGGCTTAATCACATTCTTAATTAGTCGGGGTTGCCAACCCCGACTATTTAGGAGGGTCTTAAACCCTAATTAGAAGCCTTAAACCCTAAAAATTAATATTTTAAATAGTCGGGGTTGGCAACCCCGACTAATTAGGAATGTGATTAAGCCGCTAATCAAGAAATCGGGTCGGTTTTGGTAAATAAAAGAAAAAAAAGGTCGATTTTAATAATAAAAAATTTAAATAGGGCTAAAGTGAAAATTTGTTCAATATTTTTGTCCATGACAATTTTTCTCCCAAACTCACACTTTTTCAAAAAGTATATCAAAACTTTTTTAAAGAGTATGATACGATATTATTATTTTTTTCATATCCATTTTGGATCAATATCCATATTGGATTTTGGGAATACATGAATTTTTTCTTATCAGTATCTTCCGCATCATTATCCATAAGTAAGTGGAAGCGGATCGGATCATAGTATTTGATTCAGTTACGCATCTAGTGACAATTCTTACATCAGCGTTTCGATCTCTACTCTTCTCAGCATCTAGACTTTTCCAGCCATCGCATCCTTAACGCTGAGTTCGTTTGCTAAAAAAATACGCTTCCAAGCTCTCTAGATAACTAAAACAGTTAATTAAAAAAATTAAAAGACAAACGAATTAAATCGCACGTAATTTAACTATCAAAACAAAATCACACGTAATTTTAACTATCAAAACAAATCAACCTTACTATTACATCGAAATCTCACGACCAAAAAAAAAAAACAAAAACTATAAAACTATGTATACAAACAACCCCAAAACACAAACTTTTTTTTTTTTGCTTTTTTACGATCAAACAACAAGCTTATAATTAAACACTGCCAAAAAGGAAACCCAAGCCAAACAAGGCTTGACCATATCCCCCGCTATCGGATTCACCTTCCTAAAACACTGAGCACACATAAACATAACCCCAAAAAGGCCCACACAAAGCCCAAGCCCTATCCTAACAGCCCCAAGCCCAAAAACCAGCGGGGACCACAAAAGGCCCAAAAACAATTGGACCAAATAAAGGCCCAAAATTGCCGGTTGCCGATGAAAGGCCCCCTCGGCCCAAACCAACCAGGCCGAAAGGCCCATCAAGCTCGCGGTGGACGCCGATGCCAGATGGAAGGCCCAGACTGGGGGGCGCCACGTGGGCTTAGTTCCAAGACCCGTTACCGAGGAGCCGGATAAGTGGGCCGAGAGGCCTGTTAGGGCCAGCGGAACGGCGATGGCGACGATGAGGGAGCGGAGGCCTTTGCGGGCCATGGCTAGCTTCTGGGCCCTATTGTCTTTGACAGGCTGGGCGTCGGAGGGGATATCTGGCCCATTATTATCTTTCGGACGTTGTCTTAGGGTTTGAGAAGCCATGGACATTGATAGAGAAGGGCGGTGAATGAGGGAATGAGGTCCTGTTGTGTTTAGGAGTTTATATTTATATATAGGAGCTAGTTTTTCTCTTGAGGCGGCCATGAAGGATCGACACGTGTGAGGGAGGAGAGAGAGTCACGTGGAAAGGTGGATGGGGTTTGTCTACGGAGGGGGGGGCGGGTGCATAGCGGGAGCGGGAAAATGGGCTTTGTTGGGCCTAAAAAGTATGCCCCCTGAATTGGGCCTAGCGCATCGGAAGAAGAAACGTGCGGAGGTCCATTATATGGCATACATTCAGCAATCTATTTAAACGTACGCGAGAGTGAAAATATCATTACAATCCATGAGTTTCCGTGGTTAATGATTTTTTTTTTTAATTTTGTTTTAATTATATTTAAACCGTTTCCTACGACGAACTCCAGCTACATTAGCTTCCGGAGTCCTAAGTTTCTCCTTAGGGCACATGATCCAAGCCACATGCGAGCTCACGCGTGGTGTTCTCCAATCCAGGTAATCATGGTCCCTGTTTGGGTAAATGTGTTCACTCCCGTACTAATGTGACTTCTTTGAGTTTAAGCGTGTAAGTTTCTTAAGATTCATAGCATTAATAATGCATCAAACAGATATTAATATTATTATTTGTTTTACTGAGACTTTGTCACCCCAATTTCCTTTCCTATATGCTTTAACTTTGCTGAGTTCAAAAGTCCTTGTTTCCGAAGCCCTTATTTCCATTGACATGGGTGAGATTTCACTTCTTAGATTATATTTCCTGCATATCTTAGCTACCTATAATGCACGAGATAAAAGAAGGGTTGAAAGTTTAGAGGGTTGAAAGTTTAGAGGGAGAAATGAGAGAGAATTTGGGAGGATGAGATGACACATGAGAGAACCCCGAAATTCCAATAATAAAGGGTTACTTTAGATATTAATCCCTGGTGTCTCAACTGGATTACATATTAGCACTTCAAATCTTTGAAATTGCTCAAAAGTCCCTCAAACTTCTAAGGAGCCTTGCAATTTGATTCCTCAATGACCTACTAGTTAAATAGTGTGCACTAACGAAGGATTTCAACCTGTTCGAGATTAGACATGCTCCAGACTAAGGAGAGGCTGCATACTTTCAGATTCCTCACTTTGTTTATTTTCCAAACTAGTTTTTATTAATATGGGTACCACACCCTGTTTTAATCTTAGATTCGGATCATCTCCAATTAGATAGTAATTAGAGAATATCCAATTATTCAATTCTTGTCCTCTATTTCAATTCCAATGACTTAGATGAAGCCACGTAGCCGAGTTCAGAATAATAATTTTAAAGATAATAATAATAATTTTAAATATAATATTTAGAGCCTACGCGGCTTCATCTTAGCCCTTATAATTGAAATAAATAATAAGAATTGGTATAATTAGACACTCTCCGATTAACATCTAATTCGAGAGGACAAAGATCATTTCATTTTATTTTCAAAAAAACAAAAAAAAAACTAGAGGCTACATACTCTGTCTCTGTCCATGTGAAAGAAAAGCTTTCGTAAGAGAGAGAATAGCTAATAACATTTACATTTACATTTTTGTTTGTAGAGTACCTGACACCGGGATCATGCATGTGTTATTCTAGATTCTTCTGGATTTCAAAATAATTTGTCTCCAACGGTTTGTCCGGCTAGTAAATAATATAAATTTTGCAAGCTGTGCATTTGATAATTGTTTATTAGAAAGATATTGATGCCCCCCATCACCATACTTCCAGCTGTCTGCTGGCTGGCCCAATTGTAATCTAAAGTTTGTCTATTGACACTTCGGTTCTTTTAAAGGTTTTAAGGCCCATTTGGGGGCCGTTCGGTTCATGGGAATGGTATTGGGCTTTGGGCAGAAAGCCTGCCAAAGTGCCAGTTTTGACAGGCTTTCTGTCCAAAACGCCTCTTTTTAGAGGCGTTTTGGGCAGAAAGCCTGTCAAAACTGGCACTTTGGCAGGCTTTCTACCTAAAGCCCAATGTCCTTCCCATAAACCAAACAGCCCCTTGGTTGTTGAAAAGAGGTGTTGAAATGGGCAAAAAGTTTGTCAAAATTGACAAAAACTGTTTGTCAATTTTGACAGACTTTCTTGTAAAAACACCCAAAAATGGTGTTTTTGCAAGAAAGCTTGTCAAAACTAACAGTTTTCTGTCAGTTTTGGCAGGCTCTCCCAAGCCCTCTTTAGCAACCAAACAGGCCCTTAGCTTCTCATTTCACACATGCATCTAACAGTAGTGAAGACAATTTTTGTCCATACACATTTATTCACCTAGCCCGTCCATCAGTTGACCCGTCTAAAACCCACTCATTTAGTTAAATGAGTCTAAGCCAAAGTGCCAGTTTTGGCAGGCTTTCTGTCCAAAACGCCTCTTTTTAGAGGCGTTTTGGGCAGAAAGCCTGTCAAAACTGGCACTTTGGCAGGCTTTCTACCTAAAGCCCAATGTCCTTCCCATAAACCAAACAGCCCCTTGGTTGTTGAAAAGAGGTGTTGAAATGGGCAAAAAGTTTGTCAAAATTGACAAAAACTGTTTGTCAATTTTGACAGACTTTCTTGTAAAAACACCCAAAAATGGTGTTTTTGCAAGAAAGCTTGTCAAAACTAACAGTTTTCTGTCAGTTTTGGCAGGCTCTCCCAAGCCCTCTTTAGCAACCAAACAGGCCCTTAGCTTCTCATTTCACACATGCATCTAACAGTAGTGAAGACAATTTTTGTCCATACACATTTATTCACCTAGCCCGTCCATCAGTTGACCCGTCTAAAACCCACTCATTTAGTTAAATGAGTCTAATCGGACGGGTTCATTTCAAAGTATACTAAACAAGCGGTGTTTATTTACCCGTTTGCCCTACCCGATCCCGAAAACCAAAACCCGAACCCCTAAAAACCCGGCAGCTGAGCTCCTCATCATCCCGACCCCAATTCCTCCTTCTCCACCTCCTCCTCCGTTGCCTCAACCGCCTCTCGAACCCAGAGCCTCCGACTCCGGCTTCGCCTCTTCCGCTGAACTCTACGGGTTCGAGAGGAAGAGAATGAATCATTCATGATTTCGCTCTGAGTAAATTACTTAAAAACTGTAAGTCGGTCATTTGAACAATCGATCCATTTCAAACATATTTAGAGTATATCCATTATACTCAAATCGAACAGATGCAGCACTCCTAATAAATATCCATATCGGCTCGGATCCGGTCACGCCCAGTTCGTGCTGATAGCAATTTGTCTCAAAATGATTATCCTATATTGATCCATGAATTCAAAAATATTTGACCATATATTATTATCTATTTGTCCTTTCAATATGATCTTTGGCTATCAATATGCCCTTTGGCTTGCAACTTTGCAAGCACGCTAATAATTTCTGAACAAAATACCCAGAGGGACCAGTACTATATATATCAGGACATATAACATATTAGCCTTTCACGCTCCATGCGAATTTTTTCTTCCAGCCTAGAAAAAGTTAAGGTGGACGTGGTCCTTCCCTTTTGGGCCGGTTGTGGGCGAGGAGGGATTCGAACCCCTGACACCGTGGCCCGCTCTCTTTGACTATTTGTTTTTCATTTATCTGATTTCGCGGATTCAACCCAGATGAAGTTCTGACCATCTGTCAGAGGAAAAAAGAACGAATTGATCTTGTAAGATTCCCAAGAAATCCTTCGATTTTTTTCCGGAAGCAGATGATTATTCATCTCCCACTGAATTGGGATTTTCCTATTGGGTGAATTGAGAATAAAGATCCCATCACAAACCAAAAGGAGGTGTCAAGTCTCTACATCTGAGGTGTCAAGTTCTGAGGTGTCAAAGCTCCTCTTTCGCCCTCTTTGGTCCTTTTCCCTTCATTGCTCATCAAATCTCATGTGCGCACATCAAAAACTCAAAATGAAGTTTTTTTTCTTTCTCTTCATCCCTACCTTCTTCAACAAATAATTATGAACATAGTTTTTACATCAAAATTAACTCCTTGGTGTTGGAAATAAAAGAAAGAGAGAAGAAAAACTATGTTCTTATTAAGTGACTATGAAGAAAAGACTACACCCTATATTTATACACTTTGCAAAATTCTCGTAAAAGGAAAACTCTAACAAGAAAAGACAACATATAATAGAGGAAAACACTAAATAGAGAGATATTATATTTAACTAATACATCAAATCCAGATATCTTTATTAAAGTCAATGAATAATATGAGATCTTTTGATAAAGGCGACGAATCTTCTGAATATTCCAATTCTTAGAAATTAATACGAGGTATCAGACTATTACTTTTGAAATCCAAAAAGGGCTTTTTTTTCCCATGCATGAATCAGTAATTTAGAGGGATACTTTTTTTTTGTAATTTCCTTTTTTTTTATTTTGGAACCTAAGGTGTGTTTGTTGACTGTAAAATTGAACTAGGCTAGACTAGTTTTTTCTTAACTAGACTGAAGCTGAATCATATAAGGGTTGGTTCACAAAAGAACTAGTTCATGTGCAACTAGTTTGATTTGAGCCTTTTTTGTTTTTGCGAAACTAAAAATAAAGTGTTGAACCAATGATGTAACACTTAAATAAATTTTTAGAGTTGCCAAACACAACCTAAGTTACCGCTATAAAAAGATTTTTTTCCCATGTCATCTATCCCCATGAACTATCTCATGCTCTGGGTCCAAACAGCATTTCTCTTTACCAATAGATGAAGATGTTTGATAATTTGAAAGTAGATGGAAAATGTGTTAATATCGGAAAGTGCCTCTATTTTCTATTCAGCAATTGGAAAATATAACTGTAAAGTGAAGGATGCCACATCAAAAAATTTTAATCCTTTCAGTTTTGCCCAATTTTTGAAGAAGTTAAATGGAAAACGAAGGAAGAAAATAGAAATTAACATTCTATTCCCTATTATTATCATTTCACTTTTTAATACTCAATTTCCACAGTCCGCTAGCTTATCAAAATGGAGTATAGATAGACTGGGTAATTTTAGTAACCCTACAGTTCAGATTGCGCCGCAGCACGGAGGATTCTGATGGGGATCATACTCACCAGAAATTAACTTCATATTCTCCCTTAATCTCATCTTACTTTTAAATGCAAGTTGAATGACTCTTAATACAGGACTAATAAACAAATAAGATCTGCAAGTTGAATGTTACGAGAAAATACATTTTCAAATGACTCTTGTTGTCATGCCTTAGGGCACGTAAGCCTGTTGGCGCAGCGTAAGTCGTAGAGCTCACAATGTTGAAATATATTGTTTAGCTCAAATCATTGTCAAATATAGCTAGTTATTTTCGCCACTAGACACCTTTGACCCAGTGTATAAATAGTTGGGCGTCTCCCCAAAGTGGGACTAAATTTTGGCTTCACAATCACTTCATCTTAAATATTTGTCGTCCTCGTCATGGTATGACAAAGGTCCAACTGAGGATCATCAATAGACGACGTGAATTTTGGAGGTGGCTCATACGGGTTCTAAATGTGACTGTCATCACGCTCACATAATGTAACACTTAATCCTACATAGCACTTAGTTTCACACTACCGACTGACAAACTGCTCTACTACCATTTGTCATGTCCCAAACCCGTGAGCCCTTTGGCACCATGTAAATCACGAGGCTCACTTAATAATACATTGTTTGGCTCCTTCCATAATGTTATAGAAAGAAGCGCTTTAAAATTGTTTTCCTTTACCTCTGTCCCTAAATTTTGTGTCTTTCAAACCCTTTTCCTATTTGGCAATGACTCAAAATTGGACCAGATACAAACATGATCCAATTTCGAAAACAATTCCGATTGGAAAAAAAACTGGGCCAAAACTAGCTCAGTTTTTCTTAGGCCAAAAGATGAGCTTTAAACTGGCTCTATTAGAGTATCTCCAACAGCTTCCTAATTTTCCACTTTTGAAAAATTTAGTTAAGTTTTTGGTCCAATAGATTCTCCATCTCATTCCCCAAAATAGAGATGGATGAGAAAAAATAGGAAAGCTTCCCCAAATCTGCAGCATTCTCCAAATTTTTGGAGGAAAAAATGGATTCTTCAAAATGGGAAAACTGTTGGAATTGATGTAAAAATAATTTGGAGAATATGACTTTTGCTTCCCCATTTTGGAGAAAATTTTAGAGAAGCTGTTGGAGATGCCCTTACGAGGAGGTCGAAGCTGTTGGAGATGCCCTTACGAGCCACCTCCCTCTTCCTTCTATTTCGACTCATTTCTCCTAGTTCAAAATAGAACCGGTTTAGATTAAAACTAGGTCAGGACCAGCCTTATTAGCCCAGCTTCTACATTTTGCCAATCAGAACCTTATCATCCGAAGGAGACCACAGAATCATTTTCCTCCTCTTTTGGTTTTCCTTGTATTCTTTCCTTTGGCGACAAAATAAAAAAACCAAAAGGCTTAAGCCACCTCCAACAACCAAAATTGAATACGCACCACTGACACCAGCATACGCATCAGCATCTTCTACCTTTTCAATAATCAATAAATTAAAGCATCCATTCATTGCTTCTCACCAACCTCCATTAATTTTTCAATAATCAATAAATTAAAGCTAAAGGACTCTACCATCGCCGACGCTCTATTTTTCTTTGCACAATTAAACCAAATAGCTTTGCTACATAGACCCAAAATATGAGATCAATAAAGGGAACAAATAAGGTGTCCCATTTCTATTGGATAATGAGTTGACTATCATTAACCCCTCCTATTGGATAATGAGTTGACCATCATTAATGATTGTCAACTCATTATCCAATAGGAGGGGGACACCTCACTTGTCCTCTTTATTACTCCCATATTTTGGGTCCTTAAAGAATTTTTCTAAACAAAATTCAAATTCAACTGCCATTTGGAAATTTTTTTATTCAAGAATATAAAAAAATCTTGTAAAAACTTGTCCGCTAGAATTCTAATTAAGACAAATGCCATCAAATGTAGACGAGCTTGGCTCAATCATCAATCACAAAAGGACAAATTTGAAAGGCCACCATAAAAAAAAGAATTGAATTTGATAATATTTGATTAATTTTTAGAACAAGCATAGAAAAAAACTCACCAATCATTAGCAAAAGAAATAATTATTCAACAAAATACACAAGCAAAATAAAAGTTTTCATGGTTTTAACAGCTAACAATCACCACCACCATCATCATCAACAACCAATCTCGAGATATACAAAATAAACACCGACAATAATAATAATTTAACATCCAATGGCATAATTGTAATTAACAACAAACTTAGGCGGCAAAGTAGTAAAATTCTTAGCTCCGGCAACGCGTGATCCTCGAGCAGCCACGAGAGTAGGGGTTGGCCTGGGCCCCAGGGCGGCAGTTGTAGTAGGAGGCCCCGCGGCGCGAGCACGGTATGCTGTCCCTCCTCAGCGCATTGTAGCTGATATACCTCCTCGTCGCTAAAATGCGCCGGCTGCTCTCGCTGCCGAGATCGAACTCCTCGTCGCCGGCCAGGCACTCGGCGATAGTTCCCCTGCACTCCGGAGATTTGTGAGGGGGAAGAAGCCGAGGGCTGCTGACAGTACGTGCCGGAGTGGTGGCGCGTGGTGGTGGGCGCGGAGACGGCGGTGGCGGAAAGCAGGTAGAGGAGGAGGAGGAAGGAGAGGATTCGCGCCATTTGAAATCTGGGTCGCGATAAATTTAGGGTTTTGATTTTTATTTTATTTAATTTTTTGTGGAGAACTTTGGGATTTTGGGGATGAGAGAGAGAGACTCGAGGGATTGAGTGAAGGGGAGAAGATATAAAGGGCGAGTAGGCGAGGGATAGGGATGGACGAAAATGGGGTTAGGAGTTGGAAGAAATTACGATAGTAGCATGTTCGGCTTGAGTGGGGGAGACTTGAGAGGTTTTATTACTGTTGAGGGGTAGTTTGGGTACTCTATCGTTTTAGGTTTGTCTGGATTCAGTGGATTGTACAGTGTTAAATTGTTGGATGTTGCTACCAACTTGGGACATGCTTTTCTCATTTAAAAATTAAAAAAAAAAAACTTTTGGACATTGTTCTTAAAAAAAAAGGGTTAAAAAATAGAGTCTTAAATTTACAAAATGTTTGGTTTGCTGATATCTCAATGATTTAAGTTTAAAATGCTTGTAGACTTTCCCCATGAATTGTGTACTGTGTTGAGATTCATTGTTATTTATGTGCGCAAAAGTAATTTTCTTATAATGTGAAGGTTCTAGTTTGCTTGTGAAAAAAAAATGATGTAAGTAGGTTCGAGACACGGCATCACGTGTGCAATTATGCAAGCCATAAAAAAAAAATCAAATCTTAAATGAATATTTGACAAGAAAATAATTGAACAACTGAATCTTCTTATTTGAATATTTTATGTTGAAATATTAAATGTCTTTTGATTCGTTTAAAATGACATACTGAATCAAGGTTTGAACAAAGAATTAGACGAATAAAATCAAACTGCTTGATAATTATGATCAATTTCCACAATAATGTGT